GTTTTTAGCACAAATGGATCGGTTTTGTGGGGAAGTGGCGAGTCCCCACAGCACCAACTCTCACACCCCTCTGGTCTTGGGCCTTCGAATTTTTACTAAGTCGTGGTTCTACATAAGTGGGGCCTTGTTTAGCTCAGCGATTAGTTATACATGTGCTTGCGTATAGCCACAGCCGTCTTGCGGCCGTTCGCAGTCGCACTACGGACAAGTTCTGGGCCGGCAGTAGCCATTTCACCCCATATCTTAATCTTCGATTTATTGAGGGATCGATCGCAATGTCTGAAATCCAAGATATCCAGCTTGATACAACGGTCCATTGGTCTTGTGACCTTCGGTTCTAATTGGATAATTCGGCTCATTTCCCCCGGGATCATTAAGATACCGTAAGTTACTGAATATAGGCCGATGATTTTTGGACAATTTTGCATGTACGTAAAGGGGTGTCGGCTTATGAAAACGCTATAAGGAATTTAAAAGGTCACATGCAAAATCTACCCAGAAGTTTCCTACCTACCACTGCTCTTATCTCCCCTTAGCACCACCCGCTAGTGACGGACGGTATTCCAGACAGGGATTTGAAGTGCCTATAACTGGATACGTTACTTTTGTGTCGAAAATTCTCGGTATATTGCACATTTGACGTTCGCGACGGATGGCAGTAGCGAATCCAAAGCCCTTAAACATTATGTTATGCCAGGTGATCCAGTGCCTTAATAGTTCAACGTCGTCCCACACCCCTGCCCGTGAGCTTGGCTCTCACACAGTGCACTACTGTGGTTCATATGCATGGGCCCCACTCTCACCTTACGCTATATCATCAGCTGTCTTACCTGTTTCACGTGATTTGACTTTAGTCAATACACTGTACGGTGCTGTGGAGGTCTATTCTGACGGCTCTATGCCCCATTAACCGCGATTGTAACATCTCGGTCACCACAACTGGTCAGTAGTAGAGCAGGATTCATTTGAACTCACGTGAGAGCAGGTAGTGATGTCAAAATCGTGGAGAAACAATTTCGTTTCACTTTTACTGATATTTTAGGGGTCGGCTAATACAGGGACTTACGACTTTGAACAAATGTGATGTGACAGTTATATTGTCTGCTTATCTATGGACGGGCTTATATTCGGTAATATACGATATCTCACAGAATACTGGCTTGTTCTACACGAAAGAAGGTGCTTTGATTTAAATGGAATAACTAAGATCGAGATATACATTTGGAGATACTACAGTGCGATTATTCAGTCTGAAGTATACCCCATAAAAACGGGATCCAACCGACGATTTCGACATTCACTTTTTCTGTCTCACAGTTTGAGTTCAGTGTTTTGAGTTCACCGTCATGGACGCTGAGGATGCCGGATATGCAACCGACGTGTCACTGCTAAACTTGGCTTTCGTTTGCGAACAGGTGCACATACGTTTACACTTTGGGATTGGCTACGCGTAAATCGATTACTGGTGTTCACAAGCAACCCTGCACTCCATGAATGACTTCCTCCCTAGTTGGCAACTGTAGGTGTACACAAGCCAAGTGAGAATCAAACTTCTAAACAGCATTATTTAAGTAAACGGTTCCCCTGTTACGTGCATGCCGTGTAGAATTGACATAACCATAGATGTTCTTGGTCGGGCTCCTGGAAACGGTCACCAAGTTTTTGAAACTCTTTAGAAGTGCTTCCTGGAGCATGCACTTCACGAGCATGGATGTGGTGAATTCACAGATTCGACAAAGTCACTGTGCTACGGCAATTATTTTCCATTTACTTCCACATTAACTCAACCCTTGGTTAGCAATTCATGACCATATCCACAAATAGGGGTGCTATCTTGCAAAGAGACCTAGGCCCATCCATTTTTGGTGATCTGCGTTGAGAGCGAGCAGTCAGCATCGCTTTGTCCCCTGCTCTCACACCCTTTGTTCACAATTCCTCGCACGTAAAACATCGGCCCAAAGCTGGGGGAGGGGCTAGAACTCCCGCTTCGACAGTCAATGACGCACACGGATGAGGAGTAGGATGGTAATGCCACGTGGGCCTCCTGAAGTGTACATTCGGATAATCGGGCCCTTCAATTTTTCCACAGCTTCTCTGCTTATACATACGTTCACATGTGAAATACGCAACACAGGTCTGGCAGCCATGGCTGAGGAGAGATAAAACCGCCTTAGAGATACCCCAACGCCGGGCAACCAAAAATGGCAAAGATCTGTATAATTTGCCGCATGAACGGAAACTTCAAGTGCTCGGGGTTTTCAGCGGACAGTATCGGCGATTGCGCTGGGACCATATTTTGTGAGATCCCAATCAAACGTGCCGCTACTTGTTAGAGCTCATTCACAACAGTAATTTAAGGGGTTAGCATCTTAAGCTAAAAGAGCAGTACAGTCGTTTGGAATGACATCAGAAGTTCTTTTCCGTATGCCTTTGCAGAACGTGGAATGCACTACCGGAATCTGACATCTGTGCTCCAACGTTGGCAGAGTTCAAATCGCGA